TTCTTTTTTGCTCTTCTCAGGAGTGTTTCTTCCACACATTTCATTCCTGTGTAATGCAACTCCACTAACTTGTTTATTGACTTTCCCATCTTCATCCTTTGGTTGGACGCTCTGACTGCTGTGCTGCAGAGAATGTGTATGTTGGTTTCTTACTGTGCTTACATACTTAACCAATTGAGAGCTGTTCTCTTGTTTTGGGGTTTCCAAGCACACAAGCCAAACAAACTGTTAGAAAAAAAAAAATGCAGCTGTCGTTTTTGAGACAAGGTTGTTAAATTGCCCAGAATGGGCTTGAACTTTCCACCCTCCCACCTCAGCCTCCCGGGGTGCTGGGATTACAGGCATGTGTCATGTGGGACTCTTCCTAAAGGAAGTAACAGGTGAAGGAGACAGCAGCACTCGGAAGTGACATCACTGTTACCATGGGCTGCTTGCTAAACACAACCCCAAGACTGCCGTCCCTGCTGTTGTGGAGTCTCCTTGGCTCCATCAGTCCTGCCATTCACCACTGGCGATAGTGACCAACTTGCCTAGTGAAAAGGTTACTCAACTCCCCCATTTTCTTTCTGTTCTCTAAATGATTCTAGCTTGAGTATAAAGGCAGCTTATGTTCATTGTCTGTTTTTATGACTTCCGGTGGTATGGATTTCCCCTTATGGAGATTCACTTACTCTAGTAAGAATGTAAATAAGGAGCAGCCCATGCTCACACTTTCAGCAGCAAAAGAGTCCTTGCTGACTAAGCTGGGGTGTGGGGCATGGTGCCCTGCAGACCTACAAGGTTGCTGAGGCCACCTCAGTTAAGGTTGTAGAGCTGGATTACGCCCCTGGTGGGGATCAGAAGTCCCCAGGGGCCTCAATGACAGAGGACTGCAGGCCCCCCTGAGAAAGGCCTTATCCTTGTCCTGCAGTCCTGGATATGTGTGTGGGAACAAGTGTTCATCAGACTTGGGTATCAACCCAAACACTTTCATTCGATCCCTGGCCCAAGGATCAAGAAAAACTGGATACTTCACTGTGAATCCCAATGAATAAGCTTTTCAAGCCCAGTCAGCTGCTGCGCTCCCAGAACCAAAGCCTGCTAAAATCAAAGGCTCCCACTTTAGAAATAATTCCTGCAGAAAGAACTCACTTTTCAGGGATGCAAATAATTTTTTAAAAAGCAAAAATTAAGGTGAAACATGTTCCCCTGTGTAAGCAGCACTCAAGCCCTTCACGTCTCCCAGTGCTCAAGCCCTGCCCTGGGATCTCCTCTTCCAGCCTGACCCCTTATCTGTGTACTTGCTTCCAGGAGTGGGGTCTTCCTCTGTGCATCCTCTTCCCTCTTCTTACATCTGTATCCTACTTTCACCCTGAATGCCAGCAAGAATGTGGCCTTGCAGAACCTCACCTCCAACAGCAAACCCAAACTTTGATTCATTCACTGTAAATAAAAGTCCTGTAAGTCTTTATTCACCTATTTGCTGGAGGACAGGAGGCGTCTGCTTACCTCTTCTGCCTGGCTCTGCCGGACTGCACTAAAAGCCAGAGCCTGGCTCACTGGCTTGACTGATGACACAGTGACCTTGCTGGAATGTTCTTCAATCAGTTAAATTGGAAAGAACATCAATGCACTGCCTCAGGTTGTAAACCTGCTAGGGCCTGGGCCATGCCTTCAGATATACTTTCATCATTTCCTGGTCTCTGTATCTCCTTTTTTAGCCCTTCATACATGGGTATGAACTCTTTAAGAAAATCTGGGCAGTAAAATCTCAACTCAGCAAGTTTAAATCAATGTATTTGTGCTTTGCAAATACAAAAATCAAACCCTAAAGGAAAACAACTTCCAAAAGACTGATACATCTTGGAAAACTATCTTTTAAAATTGATGGAAAAATCAGGCATTTCCATGACAAAGAGCACCTAAATAAATTCATGATCATCAAACTAGCACTCCAAAAAACTTTCAAATATCATAGAGATAATGAAGCTAACAATAACAAAAGTCTGATACAATGAATTCTCCAGGTAGGGGAAGAAGTTAAGTAGAAGCAGAAAAAACGGGAATCAGCAAGAAGAAAATAAGATAATGAAAAGTCAACCCTTTCTGTATTAACTCTCAATAAAAATGATCTCAATTCACCAATTGAGACAGATTGGTAGAATGGATCAATAAACAAAATCTAAAGATAAGCTGTATGCAAGAAACAGATTTAAGCCAAAAAGAATCTCATAGACTAAAAATCAAAGAAAGAGAAACAGGAACCCTAAAACAAGCATCATTAGCTATCCTTCAATATATGCAACTCAATAAATGTAACATCACATAAACAGACGCAAGGACAAAAATCCCACAATCATTTCAATAGATGCAGAAAAGCCTTTGACAAAATCTAACATCCATCCATGATTAAAAAAAAATCTCTGAAGAAAATAAGTATAGACTTTATCTCAATCTGATACAAGTTAATTAAAAAATCTACTGCCAACATTATATGAGTAGAAACTTAAAAGTTTCCCTCTAAAATCAGAAACAAAATAAGGATATTCATTATCATTGCTCCTATTCAATATAGCACTTGAAACATTAACCATAACAATCGGGTAAGAGAAAAATTAAAAGGTATGTGTACAGGAAAGGAAGAAGTCAAATTACTATTGTTTATAGATGCTATGATCTTCTATGGATGACCCAAAAAAATCTCACCAAAGACTCCCACAATAATCAAGTTCAGTAGCATAGTAAAATATAAAACCAAATTAAATAGTTTCTGCACAGCAAAGAAAACAACCAACAGAGTGAAGAAATAACCTATACAGTGGGGGAAAAATTGCCAGCTTTTCCAGAGAACTAAAACATGGAATACATAAAAGAACTCAAAACATTTTGAACCTCCCCCCAAATGAATCAAAAAATGGCAACTGAAATAAATAGACACTTTTAGGAAGAAGTAGAAATGGCTAATAAATATTGAAAATATATTCAACATCTCTGGCCATTAGAGAAATGCAAACTAAAATAACACAAGATTTTTGTCTTATTGCAGAAAGAATGGCTGTCATCAAGAAAACAAACAATAACAAATGCTGGTGACGCTGCTGGGAAAAAGGAACCCTTCTGTCCTGTTGGTGGGAATGTAAAGTAGTGGAATCATCAATATGTATCCTCTTGTGTCTGGCTTCTTTCACTTAGCACAATGTTTTCAAACATTGCAGAATATATTAGAACACCATTCCTTTTACTAAGTAATTTTGCTTATTCTTTTATCCACAATTTTGTTTATTCTTTTGTCAGTTGATAGACACTTGAGTTTTCTAATGTGCCTCAGAAAATGACAAAATAATTCCATTTATTTTTTGGATTTAAGTAACTTTATTCTTAAACAAAGACTGGATATTGAAAAAATGAAATTTATATTAATAAATTATAGTAATTTATAGTTATACAATTAAATTTGAATGGGGTTTACAAATATTATCTCTGATTATTTTTAAATTGTATTTAAAAAGACCATCCTTCTAAATTACATAGTACCAATAAATAGATGTGATAAAGAAAGGGAAAGAAAGTAAAGTACTCAAAAGTAAAAAACAATTGGAATGGGGAAAAGAGAGGACGAAGGAAAACGATTATATGTATATAGGTATACATATAAATGTATATATGAGTGTATGTGTGTGCATGTATATAGGTATATATAAGACAAATAGCTATACTACTAATCTCTGTTAGCTCATCAAAAAGAATAGTTTGTGCTTTGTTTGATAATTTTTTGTATGCCTAAATCTTGTAACCTGAAAAATTACTTTTAAGATAACAATATGTGATACATTAGTGTTAATTTCTTACTTTTTAAAAAGTCTATATCATTTCTATTCTTTTTTTGTTTTGTTTTTTAAAAATAAAGTAAAAAAATAAATTACATAATACAGGGTCTAGCTTATAGCAAGCATTCAAAAAATTTAGCAGCTCTAAAACAGTCTGCTAGCTTTAAAATGATCTGTTAGCTTTCTGTTACTATAATGAACGCAAGAGGAAAGGTTTGGAGCGCAGTTGGTGGTCCCAGTGTGGTCAGCTGGCCAGTTGCTTTCAAGTGGGGGCATGGTGCACAGTGGGTGTATGGTAGAAGAAGCGGCATTCCTGGCGGGAGAACGTAGAAGGATACAGAAAGCCCTACTTCCTTCAGCCAGGCCCTGCCTGCCAGAGGTCCCAACACATCCCAATATGTTATAGGAAAGGGACCAAGTCTTCAGTACTTGGGTCTTTGGGGACATTCAATATGGCAACCATATTGAAAAGCATATTACTTTTTAAAATAAATTGTTTTCAAAATTGAGCATAATCTCAAGCAAATTTTTAGCACAGTATTATTTCACACCCTTGCAACAGAATTCAGGAATTTCAGAGTCACCTGACCAATGTTTACAGGATGTTTACTGTATGCTGGGAACTATTACAGAAACTAAGGTTTAGGGATTATCCAATTCCAGCCATCCATTTGGCAAGGAAAAAATCGAGGTGCAGAGAGGGCTATGGTCATTCTACCTTTAGACAGGCCAGATTCTATTTCTACCATTTCTCTTGAACTAGCAGCACTTCAGCACTTGACAGATGCACGAGACTTGACTGGACAATCTACTGGGCAGGAGGTGAACTGCACCCATTGTCGTAAAGTGTGTCCACAAATATAACGGTCCCTTCAAAATATGGGGTTCTCCTCCCCTAGACTATGGGGTACACTTAGAGAACTGTTTATAATGAGTGGAAAACAGGTTGTTGTGTAAGTGTGTGATGGAGACCAGGTCACAAAAGGCACCATAGCACCCGACTCACTCTCTCTCCAGATCGCTGGTCTGGTGGCGTTACCCGTCTTATGTGAGGACCTCAAGCAGCCCACACTGATGCCCATCCTGCTGGCAAGGAACACATGGCCCTTGAGACCCTGAGGCAGAAGCCCCTACTCCCCAGTCCTGGCCCTCACTGAGGGTCACGTAGGTGAAATGATAAACGTTTTAAGCTGCTAGATTTGGAGATAAGTTTATTATGGGCAGCAAAAGAAAACACAATTTGTTTTCTCTCCTACCTTTTCTTGACCTCCCGCAAATACCTTATTTTATAATGCACATTATAAACACATTATTTTAGCTGATATTGCTATATTTTAAGATTTATTGATGTCATAAACTGTAACACTGGCAAATTTAAAAATTACAATAAAAAGTCCCATTTTCACCATTGTTAAATGTACAAGACAGTGACATGAAGTGCATTCACAGTGTTGTGCAGCTCTCGTTAGCTCCAGAATTTTGTCATTGTCCCAGTGGAAGGCCCAAATCTATGGCTGATATCGTTTTGAAAATATTAACTTTATTTTGTCCCTCTAATCTAGAACAGTCATGTAGTAACAGAGATAAACTAGTTAATAATTAAATAAAACTTTATTTAAAGGTAAACAAGTTTGGAAAGGAATAACGTTAATACTTCTAATGACAATGTGAATCTTCTCATCTTACGTGAATAAGAAAATCTAATGAGTTCTATTCTACTATAGATAAAATACAACCTCAATATGCTTTTCTAAAAACAAAATCACTAGAATTCTTTTTCTTTAATTTTTTATTTTATTTTATTTTTTTGTCTTTTTCTTTTTTATCAGTGCCGGGGATTGAACTCATGACTACCTGCTTGCAAGGCAGGCACTTATGCCGCTGAGCTAAATCCCCAGCCCTAGAATTCTTTAAATCCACTGAATGTGGAACATAGCTTACACGACAGTCAAGGACAACCAAGGAACTGGCGACAGCTGTTGAGGGTCACCACAGCAGGGAGCACCAACAGGTGTCCTGTAGTGGTGACCTCCAATCTTAGAACATTAATAATGGGAACACAAGTGGAAAGAAAACAGGACAACCAGGCTCAGTCCTTACTATCTGCCCCAAGCTTTGGAGTGCGAGATGGCATTTGCCCAGCTGTTTGCTGACTCGGCAACTGGGCTAAGGCTGGAAACAGATGTTACCAGTTTTAGCACCATTTCCTCCCAATAATCTTGTTTCAATACAATACAAGGAAATTGTGACCTGGAAACACTGCTACTGAATCAAAAGATGGCTACACAATCAAGACCTAAATCACATTATTTTATGGTTTTAGTTTCTAAGGTCCTCTGAAGAATGGAAATGAGGATTGTTGGCAAGAGATAGTCTCAACAGGGCCAGTTCCTTTCTGTCCCCTGGAGAGGACACCACAGCCATGCTTTTGTATACCCTACGACTGCCTCGTTATGCAACAGCAAAGAGGACAGCAGTGGTTGAAAGATACTGATGTTACCCCTGTGTTCAGCGCACTGGGTGAGCACCTCTCAAGGTATGAGGCTTTTTCCTTTTCTCATTTGCTCATTCATTTTAAAACATGTGCTGTCTTCTTTGTCCTATGTGCTGTCCCAGGCACTGGGGATAAGCAGTGAACTGAGCAGCGGAGATAGTGGAGAAAGCATAGCATCTGCCCCGTGATACTTTGTAGCTGATCTGAATGCCCCACCTTAGCAGGATGTTGTTGAGTCTGAGAAAGGGCTGCAGGTCAAACTGTACACCTGCTTTCTTTAACTGCAGGTCTCCAATTCAAGCAGGCAGAGAATGAAACACAGAGGCAAACCTCTGCTCAACTCAGGCCAAGTACCCATTTCAGAACGTAATGACCCTTCCCTGGGGTTTCCCTTCAACACTAGGAACAGAAGCGTACCTGGTCTTGAGTAAGGAGAAAGAGCCACAGACATGATGGAGAGCTTTCATGCAATTTAGGAAATTGATGTTGAAGCCTCAGACACATAGGCCCCCTGAACCCCCAGTCCCCCTGGGTCCTCCAGGGCCATGATCACAGCATGACCCCGGCCACATTCTCTGGAGAGGACTGTGGCTTCAACATTAGGAGCTAAGGGAAGTCAGGGCTCAGCTAAGAGTGGAGCAGTGAGGCAGGTTCCCAGGCACCAGACACTGAAGTCAAGAGGAAAGGCAAAATGAGAGCCAGAGAGGAGCTGGGGGTGGCAGCAAGTCTAGACAGAATGAGCAATGGCTGGGGGGAAATTTTAGGATAAAAACACATTTCTTTATTTTAAGCACCCAAACTAAGATGTTGGCACACTGCATTGCTGGCCTTTGAGAAACGGGCCTTCCACTCCATGATGAGATGTGTGGGTGAGCCGTGAGCTGAGGAGGTCATCACCACCTGTGGATGGGGGAGCCCCTGGCCAACAGAACCCAGCAACTGTCTGCCTGTTCCCTTCACTTATTGCAAGAAATGTGAGTCACTCCAATGAAACCCACTGTTGGCAGCAGGAACTCTAATGTCTGACTTGTGAGGCAAAAATAGCTAGCTGCTCTAGCCTCTGAGACTGAATGAGAAGTCCAGCATCAAGTCCCCGGCTGCCCCATAGCTGGGAAGAGGGGCTGAGCCAGCCACCCACTTGCCATAGCTTGGGCCAGCAGCACAAGACCTCTACACTGTCAAGGTCTGAGCCGCATCAGGGGTTGAAAGTGGACTCCCTTGTGTATTATGGGTGCAAGAAAAGAGCCAAGTGGGCCGGGGTGGGATAGGGAGAGAACAAATGACACGGTAGTCAAAGCCTGAAGGCTAGCGTGCAACACGAAGACATTCCTGCCTCCCTGAAATCCTACATCCAGGGGCCCCAGGCACCAGTGGCCTTGGGGTCGCAGCGTGGGTCCTGGGCCGGATAGTGCACGGGCACGGAGTGCTTCTGGTAGAACTGCAGCCTGCGGAGTAGCTGCCTGACAAGGTGAGGGTGTTCTCCCGACAGGTCGTGCCTTTCTTCTGGGTCCTGGTCAATATCAAAGAGCCACAGGGACTTGGTGGGGTGGTCCGATGAATGCAACTCAGAAACACTGTGTTCAGAGGGTGGGGGGAACCAGGATCCACAACCTGAAGAAGAAAGGAGACTGTTTACTGGGGAGCAGCACCGTGGGCAGGGTGATTTCCAGGGTAGTCTGGGAGGGGGTTGGGTGGCTTGAGGTATGGACAATAGGCAGCCCTCTGTGCTGTCTCCAGATTGGTCTCTGAATCTGGCTTCAGGGTGTTGAGGAGACACACTTTGCTGCTGTACAACTGGGGACATCCATAAATGTGCGTCTCTGCGTGTGCAAGGGGACGGTTCGTTGTCACAATGAATGGGAGTTAGGTTGCTCTTGCTATTTAGTAGGCATGAACCAAGGATGCCAAAATATCTTGCAATCGATAGGACAGTCCTGAATGATGAATCACCTTATTGAAAATGCTAAAAGCATCGAGAATATGCCATGATAAATGTCTATTTTCTTTTTTTTTTTCTATCCTGGGGATAGAATCGAGGGTCTGGTGTACTGAACAGCATTCCTAGCCCATCTCCATTACTGGCACTGCCTGACTGCACTGCAGCCTTCTGCGGCTCACTCTGTATTTACAGTGAGTCCAGAGACATCATGTCAGAGAGCATCCTCAAGGAAGCTGCCTCTTTGCCAGTTCCACCACTGGGTGAGGGTGTGGCCTCAGGGATTCTCTGCTAACTTGATGTGCTGTTTGTCTGCCACACACACCTGAAACCCATACTCGCTGTGAAGCATTTCCAGTGGTATTTCTTCCTTTCACACCCTCAGCAGCTAATTTCCAATTTTGGTTTGTTTGCTTGCCTCTCTTTTTGGCACGATCAGGAGATGAAACCATTTTTGCTCACCATGAGACATAACAACAGTGAAAGCTCTGGATTTGGGAACATGCTGAGTCTTAAAAGTAGGACTAGAGACATCTGAATAAATATCTTTTTATGGTACACATCAAGAAGGATCAAGCAAGATTTAAAGGTCATGTAACATTTCATGGTGCTGAACAAAGGGTGGGGGGCCTCTGGAGTCTTGAGGAGGTGGGTGGTGATTAAACACAAGTGATAATGTCCTTCCTTTCCAGAGAAATGGCCACAGGAATAAAACACCAAGAGCATGCGCAGCTTGGAGAACTGCCCTAGGACACAGGGCGACCCAGGTCACTGAAGGAAAGGACATCAGTTAAGCTAAGCACACTACCTGGGAACCCGGTCAGGAGTTTCCAGTTTCTGTGTCTGATTGCAGCATGGACAGATGTGTTAAAGGTTGAATATTCTAGAAGAGAATAATCATCTTTTGCTGGAGCTGTGCCATTGTTGGGACCTGGGAAGAAACAGTTTGTAAGAGTTAGACTGCTGTTGTTGGAACGTGGAGTTATAAATCAGCATTTTTGTATCCTTCCTGTAGAACAGTAGCTCATATTCAACACTGGAGTGCAAATGCATGTCCTGCCACAGAAACGTTTATTAAACATAAACAGAAAGCTACAGTTACATTAAATGTCAATCATAAACCACCACAACTATAAAGGAAATCCCAAAGAGCTTAGAATACTAATTCATCCTTAAAAATCACTGTGCTCTGCCAATGTGCAGCTGGCCATGTGCAAAATAGTGTTCTGTTAAAGCATAATGGGTTGTTTTTTGGTGTTTGTTTTCAGCTTATTTTGCTCGTCAATGCATAAATTATATTTTATGGGTATACTTATAATTAATTATAAAATGCACATTTAATGGTACTAGGAAAGTTCATTCATTCATTCATTCATTCATTTGCAGCAATGGGGATGGAAACCAGGGCCTCACACATGCTGGGTAAGGGCTCCACCATGAAGAGAGATGTCCAACTTTTTTTTTGATGTTTAGACACAGTCTTGCTTAATTGTGATCCTCCTGCCCGAGTTTCCTAATTATCTGGGATTATACATGTGCACCACTGTGTCTGGCTATCTACATTTATTTTTCAACCACAGGTATGATGTCTAAAATTAAATAACAAGGCTTATTCAGGTTGTCGGAATAACTGTAAGTTTGGTATACAAATATAAGTATACCAAACTGTAAGTTTGGTATATAACTATAAGTTTTGGTATACAAATGTGTTATCATGGATTACATTAATTTATCTTTTTGAGATCTTACAGTAATTGATTGGGATTTTAAGGGGACTGCTTGCTAATATCTATCCACTTGTGATAGTGCTTTTGTTACTAATAAAGTCAGCAGAGGGTACATGGCTTCAGATTTGTGACAGAGGCTTTGCTAATAACTGATCATTGATTTAATAAGACTTGGCCGCCATTGGTGCCCTTGCCAGGTAACCCCACAGCACACATCATGCCAGATGGCCTCTGCATCAGTAGACTGGAGGCTCAGAAACGCAGCACAAAGGTAGGGCAGCGAGTACTCTGAATTCCTCCTTTGGGCTCACCGGGCCCAGTGGAGGGGAGTAGAGAGTGAGGCTCCAGTGGAAGCCCTGGATGCACTCGGAGGAAAGAGTAGAGGCTCTCTGACCTCACTCTTTCGTGTCCCAATTTAAAAACCTCAACTCTGGGCCTTGCTGTATAATTTCCAGTCTGTTTTAAGTTCACATTTCTCTGTTAGCTTTTCAAATAGTTGCAGCAATCCTCTTGGGAGCTCTTGAAAAGACTGCTGGCTTAGTCACTAACAATGCCTGGGTGTCTGTTCTCTGCCCGGGGTGGAATGAACAGTGGCTGATGCCTGTAGTCCTGGATGCCTGGGAGGATATGGCAGGAGGATTGAGTTCAAAGTCCAGAGTTCAAGGTCAGCCTGGGGGACAAAAAGAGACCCTGTCTTTGAGAGCACCCTCTCCCTGAGCAGGACTCCAGCATCCTCTTAGCAGGGAGCGCTGCTGGCAGTGGGAAGGCAGGGTCCTCTGCGGTGTGGAACAGATCCTGTAGATATACATAGAGGCTGATGCAGTGAACAGTTGCAGTTTCTGAGCTTCAGTCTCAATAAACACACTAATAAATCTTCAGCCCTGAGGAGGAACATCTTTTCAACTTCTCGCTTCTCTGTTTGTGGGTATTTTGGCACCAACACAATCGGATGCATCTCGTGGTGGAAGGTGCCGTGGAAAGGGCATCTCCTGCACATGCTGGTCAAGCTGTAAGCCCCATGTCTCACCCGCTCAAGCTGTGTGAAGGTCATGTTTTCATACCAAAGACTGCCCACCAAACAAGCACACTTGGACACATACAACGGAAATAGCTATCTCAGCCACACTTACATTTATATACATTTTTTTCTTAAAATAAACAAGAATATAAGATACCTAAACAGTAAATAAATCCAAGACTAAACAATGAAGTATACTATCATCTCAACTTTACTTTTTTTATTTTAAGACATTAAGCAAAGAGAAAATAACAAAGGCTGATACAATCAACACTCTGAGATGTCACCCAAAATGAAAACAAGTTAACATTTTGCTATATTTGCTTTTTTTAAAAAAAGAAATCGGACAACAAAGATGACGCTGAAGTCTCCTTTACTGCCTCCTCGATCCTCATCCCTCTACATTGTCCTCCATGGGCCACTTCTGCCACAGTAAACTGCAGTGGCAGCTGTGCCAAGAGACGAGACATAGTGTTGCTTTATACCCTAAAAGCGCACAGGTGTCTGTGATGTTAAACATGTCCCATAACCTGCTTTATCATTTACTCTTGTGGATTTAGAGCTCTGTGGTTACATGTATATATTCCTCTTAACTCCATATTCCGCCATATAGAAATACCACATTTTATTTACCTAGTCTCCTGTAGGGTATCCAGATTGCTTTATTATTATTATTATTATTATTATTATTATTATTATTCAGTGAATACCACTGCCCACATCTGCTTGTGCACACATGCTTGAATTTCTCTAGGGTGAGTCAGGAGGCAAAACCACCCATCTGCAAGGGAAACACATTTTCAACTTTATAAATATACCTTTGGCCTTCCTTACTAGGTAATGTCTCATTTCTCTACATCTCATCTTATGCCTGAGATATTCTGACTTAAAAAGCTGTAGATCTAAAGATTTTAGAAAGAAACTTCATCATCTTTTTTTTCATGTAATCAACAACAGGCATTGTTTTCTGTGCCAATCCAGGGGCTGCTGTAAAGTCACATTTTAGTGATGTCCATGGAGAAAAGCACACAAATCACCAGGTAGCAGCTTGCTGAGCAGCGAGGGTCCCCAGTTAACACTCTGGTCAAGAAACTTCAAGATCCATGTCTCTGGCCTTCACCGTTTTCTCCCCCAGGACCTGCTGCCCTAGTTCTGAGCAGCAGAGGCACATCTGCCTGCTTCTGAACTTAATGTAAATGGAACCTGTATAGTATGTTGCTCTGACTCCTCGTCCAGTTGGGTCCACATAATGTTTCTGAGATTCATCTACATTGTTGGGGTTCAGCTTAGTTCTAGTACCTCACTCATTTGCATTGCTGAATAGTATTATGCTGCATGAAAATTCCATTCTCCTCTTACATCTGGACTTAACGCTCACTCCGCATTGATCTTTGTCTACAGTGTGAAATAGGCATCAAGCTTCTTTTCTCCCCCTAGTGTTAACTGACCAAATGCTTTTTATTGACAAGGCCGTGTATACTAGAGGTGTAAAATATGATGCTTTGATATCCATGAACATTATAAAATAACTCCTCCAGTCAAGCTAATTAATCTATGTACCACTTCATATAATTACTTTTTTGTGAGACCACTTAAAATCTACTCTTTAAGCAAATTTCAAGAACACAACGCATTGACTGCAGTAACCATGCTGTACTTCAGAGCCCCAGAACTTGCTTATTATAAATAAAAGTCTCTGCCTTCTGACCAATCCTTACTCCACAGTTCCTAGCAATCACTGTTTTACTGCTTCTATGAGCGCTGCTTCCTTAGATCCACCTATGAGAGAGATCGTGCAGTACTTGTCTTTCTGTATTTGGTTTATTTCTCTTTGTATAATGTCATCTGGGATCACCCATGTTGTCACAAATCCTAGCCCATTTTAACTGAATTGTCATTTTGTTCTTTAGTTATTTATATATTTTAGATACGAGTTCTAAATATTTAAAATATATAAAATATTTATATATTTTAGTTCTTTATATATTTTAGATACAAGTTCATCAGATGAAAATATTTTTTCTCGTATGCACTATCTCTTTGCTTTCTTGATGCTGTTCTCTGAAACCCAAAAGTTTTGATGAATTCCAATTTTTCTGCTCTTGTTGTTGGAGTGACTTAAAAAAGTGACAAATCACAAGAACAGACCAAACACGGAATTTATCAAACCCTATCCTTGCTTGTGCAAAAACATTTTAAATCTGTGATGGTACAGATCCCTTGTTTCGAAGTGACATTGTATAGCCTTTTTGTATAAAACAGACAAATAGAAAGGGTCTAGTTAACTTCCTTTTAAATACACTTAAAATATGCAGGTGGATCTATTTGAGGTTTTAGATCAAAAAGTTTATTTGGGCTATAAATGTATAGGGTAAACCAGTAATAGATATGAACTGGAACTTTGTTTTGGACAGTTTATCAATTGTCTTTTTCCCAACTGCGTAACCTGCTGTGACAGGATCTTTCAAGAGAAAATATTGTTATAAAAATTTTTAAGAATTAAACTCTAAATGTATTCTATGGTTGCTTTTGTCTTTGGTGCTACATCTTAGAAAAATTGCTCAATCCAAGGTTACAAAGATTCACATTTATGTTTTCTCTTTTAAGAGTTCACATTGTTTTTTGATTCATTTTGAATTATTTTTATGTATTTGTGAGATAGGATTTCAACTTCATTCTTTTTGTATAGACTTCCAGTTATGTCAGTATTATTTGTTGAGTCTTTTTTTGGGCAGGGGGTAATGGGGATTGAACTCATGACTTCAGGCTTGCCAGGCAGACACTTGTGCTGCTGAGCTACATCCCCAGCCCTGTCCCAGTATTACTTGTTGAAGAGACTGTTCTTTCCCTATTTGATTAGGTATTTGATAGGTATTTGACAAGTGTCCTTGTCAAAAACTAACTGACCATAATGGGAGTTTTTATTTCAGGACTCTCATTTCTAGTTTATTAATCTATGTGCCTATTCTTATGCCAGCACCACAGTATTCTAACTACTGGAGTGAGTTTTGAAATCAAGGAATCTGAGTCCTCCAACTTTACTTTTTCCACAAGTAACCATTGCTTTGGTTACTCTGGGTCCTCTGGATTACTGTATGAATTTTCAGATCAATGTATGCAAACAGACTAGCCCAAATCCTGTTAGGGATTGTAGATCAATTTGACAAGTACAGCCATTTAACAAAA